TAATTGAAATCCGTCGCGGGTCACGGGGATGAATTTTGGTGAACACTTGGTCCACCTCGCCTTATATATTTTTTCTTTTTTAAAATTATATATATTTATGTGTATATATATGTCTTATAACTTAGGTTAACCTAAACACTAACTCTCTATTGGCATGGACTGACATCCTTGCACTTGTCATTTGGCCTTCATTTTTAATGTTCTTTGTGTGCCCTTTGCCTGCTGTTTCAAGCTCAAATTAAAACCTATGTAACTGTTACACATTTATAAATTGTTTAACATTCCAAAAAAAAATCCAAAATAATAAAAATAAATAAATAAAATCCTGAATGGGCAGGCATGGGTATAATCATTTCCCAACAGGGCGGGGATGGATTATGAAAATTTAACCCGTTGCAAGTACGGGGCGGGTCTAGAGTTCTCAATAAATAAATGGGGCGGGCACGAGTTTAGGCAAACCCGCTCCAAACCCGCCCCGTTACCATCTCTAGTAATGTTAAAAAATATATATATATATTTAATAAATTTGGAAAGCTGTCAATTCAAAAGGTGCTAAAAGAGAAAAATTAAAGATTGATTATGTTTTCACCACCCAAATATGTTATTTAGTGATATTTTCTCTTCTCCAATATAATGAAAGGTAAATGATTTGAGGTCCCCCAACATTCTAACACTTGGAATTGATTTAATTTTTAAAAGAAGAACAATTGGAATTAATTTGTTATTACATTTTTCCGCTAATTAATCTTGACATTAAACATCATTTTTTCCCTTTTTGTTCCAATAATGTGTTGTTCATAATCTAATATATATATATATATATATATATATATATATATATATACATGTAATCAGAATTTTTAGTTATTTGGTGTAAATTTGTAGCACATGTGATCCGATATTTCTTTCGTGCTTGATTTACCTTCAAACTGTCAACCCCATTTTGAGTCTATTGTTCCAAATTTCCGATCTTCTAAAACAAATATATACTATATGATAAGAATTGATAAACACAACTCTCATTAAGGCTCTGTTTTATTTTTACTTTGTAGTTCTACGTTGAGATTAAGGTCAAGTCCATTGGGCCGGATATGTAAAATAACTTGTCAAAAATTTATAAATAAATTATTTTTGTTAAATTTTAATATTTTTTTTCTTCCAAAATATTTTACGACAACCTAGATAAATTATTTTTTGTTAAATTTTAATATTTTTTTCTTCCAAAATATTTTACGACAACCAATCACCAAAAAAATAAAAAAATATTTTTTAAAAAATATTTTACGTCCAAACAAACAGAGCCTAAGTAACCGCGTCTTGCAACACCCATGGTAGTTGGATTTTTAATTTTTGTTATATATATCCTGATTCAATTTCATATTTATTATACGTAACAATTCATCATTTTTTAACAAATTAATAAAATCTACCAATAGCAGCAATGTTGAGATCAACGCATCTTTTCAAATAACTAGACAATTTAGAGAAAGTGAACCAAAGCAAGAAATAAGAAGTTACACACGCTAATCATATAAAATTATTACAACGGCAAAATTTTAATTTTTAAATTATGTTAGAGAAATTCTTTGTATAGCTACAGGTACGTCCTTATATGTCAAGCTGAAAACGAGTAATGTGGTAGTATAAAGTAGGGTTTTTAGGTTGGTTCGGGTTCTAGGTCACGGGTTCTTAGTATAAAGTAGGGTTTTAGGGTTTTAGGTTGGTTAGTTAGGGTTCTTAGCAGAGACAGAGGAGAGAGAGGGGGAAAATGGGTAATTTGAGGAGTTTTGGCGATCGGATGCTGTATTGCCACGGGTCTCTGCTAAGAACATGGTTCAATTGTTCCAATCCGGCGAGATTTCACAACTTCAGCACCGGTGGCGATGGTGGTTTGTTTCTTGGATGCGGATGCTTCAAAAAGGCTGCAACCTTTTCTTCTCCACCTGTAAGTCGTCGTCCTCCTCCTCCATTGCTTATGCTACCTCCGGGGTGGTGGTTGTTGCCGATGATAACAAAACATCACTAAATCACTCAAACCACCAGGACGATGATAACTATTTTAATTTCTTCAGTGTTTCAGAACAGAGTCAATTTAGGGTTCGGAAGAATCTTAGTAGTATACCATGGCAGAGGGAACTCCTTATGCCTACAGCCGCACCATGCGTGGGGTCTTCCCATGGCTAGTTGGCCTTTAACCACCCTCAGAATTGCCATTCTTATCTCTACAACCCATTGATAGATTCTCCTCATTTCCCCTACATTCCCCTCCCTTCCATCGAAACCCTCCCCTCCTTTCTCGCCTCGCGCCTTTTCAAATCCGATCACTTCTCCCCTTCCCCTTCTCTCAACACCCAGTTCCTAATCTCACTTCACTAGATCACGAATATCGAGGAGGAGGAGGACGGAGATGAGTCGCCGTTTACCCCAAAGACATCAAAGACATCGATTATTTACGAAGACTTGTTTTGTCATCACCCCCATCTCTCCCCTTTTATTCATCAGATTCATCTTCTCCCGGAAATGATTGCACTATAATGGCCATCCACAGCGGCTGTGACAGTCTTGCCTTCTGCAAACCGGGCGATGATAGCTGGACCGACTTGGAGGGTTCGCTCGGATGTTATTCTGATCTCATATATTCCAGCAAGAATCACCGATTTTATGCAATGCGATCAGATTATAGCATTGAAGCTTGGGATCTCAGAGACCCTTCTTCTCCCAAATATCAAGTTTTTGATAGTCCCGACTTTTGTCCTGGGAAGCTTTACCACAAATTTAAGGGATCTTATAATTTTACATTCACAAATTACTTAGTTGAATCCTCGGGGGATCTTTTGGTGCTTCGCAGATTTATAGCCCTAAGTGTTGCTGAAACTGAATTTGTGCATCCTCGTAGGTCTGAAGACGATGTGGTGAATAACATTAATGATGATGAACGAGAAAATCTTTTCCTTCAAGATGATGATGCTTATTGGACTCTGGGATTTGATGTTCATAAGTTTGATTTCGATCAGAGTAAGTGGGAACTGTGGATTGCTTAGGTGACCGAGCACTATTTGTGGGTTCTAATCATTCATTTTCTCTCTCAACTTGCCATTATCCCGAGCTGATGAAGAATTCTATCTACTTCACTGATCATTTCCTCGAAGGATTTAACCAAATATATGATGGCCATGACAATGGTGTCTTTCACCTAGAAGATAACTGCATAAAACCTTATTATCCAAGAAGGTTGAAGATCATTAATGTTTATGACTCTTCATTGTATATGCAATTGCTTAAGGGCCCGTTTGGCAACCACAGTTGCTTTGTGCATTTGCTCTGATTCTAGCAATGTTTTTGCTTTTAGGGTGTGTTCAACATTATTTAGAAGCTATTTATCAAAAAAAAAAAAAAAAAACCACCTATTTAGAAGCTTATTTGGTAACGTAAATTTATTACAAGATTTTTTGAAGTAAAAACATAAATGCCTGTTTGGTAAAAAGTGTTGTAAGTTTGAAAATTTGAATGGTTAATTAAAAATGTTATGTTAGAAAATTTTGAACAGTGCTTTGCTACAGTGCGGAAGCAAACAAAAGTATCATTTTAGCCTCAATTTTGAAAGCGCTTTGGTACTATTCAAAAGCGCAACAAATATTACCGAACATGTTTCGTGTTTTTGCTTCGCTACCGTACACTAACAAAAGCAAAAAACACGAAACAAAAGCACTAGTCAAATAGGTTATGATACGGTAGATTTTGGTGCTTACTTATTTGTGGTTGCTAGCGGCAAGGTTGTAATATTTATGACTCTTGATTATATTTGCAATTGCCTAAAAGGGTAGATTTTGGTGGTAACGGATTTGTGATTGAAAAGTTAATATTATTGCTTTGAATCCTAAATGGAGTGTAGTTACTAGCTGCTATTTGATAGCTTTATTCAAATCCCAAAGCTCACAGTATTGTGTATTTGCTTGTATATTTAAAAATGGAATTGTGAGAATTTCATCATATAATCACATCTTACAAGATTTATCTTGCTGAATGTCTGATTGTGTGAACACATTTATTTATCATTTAACATATAGATATATGTGCTCATGTTTTTTTTTTTTTTTTTAAAAATTATTTTCTTTTATTATATATATAGGAACAATGTTGTAATGTTTATTTATTTTATTTTATTTTATTTTATATTTTATATTTTATATTTTATATTTTTTATTTTTTTGTGTTGAATGGTTAAGCTTTGTATAAAATAGGAAAAAATTTGTACAGCAGTCCAAAAAGTCCATGAAAATGGACAGGACACCAAGCCAACACACAAGAACAAAATACAGTAATTACAACAAAGTGGTGCTACCTTGACACAACACCACAGAATTAACACAATAAACTGACACCACAACAAATAACTAACAAAATGAACTGACAGCGAAATCTGAGCAACCCAACAATGTGTTCAAGGAAGACTTCAGCACTGTAGAACTGCAGCAATGTAGACTTCATAATGTAGAACTTCAAAGAAGAAAACAACGTTGCCTGTGGGCAAACTCACACCCTTCTGAGAATAGCTTCTGCAGGTCTCTCCATGAAGTAAACTTTCTCAAGTTAGCACCATTATTCAATTTGATAGAAGCAAGTCTAGCTCTTACATAGCTCTTAATTGACTTGATGAGGAGATGAGGAGTAGAAGACTTGCTCCTAAATGCCCTTGCATTCCTTTCTAGCCAAATGAAGTAGATAGCAGCTGAGAGAAGTAACTTGTGAGTAATAAATCCCTTTTGAGTCCAGGAGTTAGCACACCATGCAATGCATGAGTTCAGTCCAGTTGTTTGGTAGGATGTAGAAGCCAGCAGCATGTTGCATGAACTCCAAAATAACTCTACTGAATTTACACTGAAAGAATAGATGATCCAAAGACTCCCATCCAGCAAGACAGAGGTAGCAGGCATTGGTTTTGTGCTTGTGTCTCATAGGTTTAGAACTTGTGAGTAATAAATCCCTTTTGAGTCCAGGAGTTAGCACACCACGCAATGCATGAGTTCAGTCCAGTTGTTTGGTAGGATGTAGAAGCCAGCAGCATGTTGCATGAACTCCAAAATAACTCTACTGAATTTACACTGAAAGAATAGATGATCCAAAGACTCCCATCCAGCAAGACAGAGGTAGCAGGCATTGGTTTTGTGCTTGTGTCTCATTGGTTTAGAGTCTAATGTATACAGTCTGTGTCTGAGAGCTAACCAAGCAATGCGGCCATGCTTTGGAATGTGATGCTTGAACCAGATGAGATGAGAGCATGAAAATAACAGTGATGGGGGTGTGAAGTAATCCCTGGTAAGTCTGTGAGAGTAATCCCTTGGTGCACTTGGTAACCACTGAATTACATCTTGAGTTGGTGTCGGATCTGGAAGGCTATGAAGCTGTGATAGGAAATGTTTAGACTGAAAGAAGTAGTTCTGCTGCAGAGATGAAGGAATTGTCCACTGAAAATTGGAAATTAGGCTATCAACTTTGACTTGATAGTCCATTTGAAGAATTTCCAACACAGTAAGACCAATTTGAGAAGAAATAGGACCATTTGGGAGCCAGTAGTCCAACCATAAGCTTGTGCAAACCCCTAAGCCAACTTTATGCCTTAGCAGACCCCTTGCCATTCCCCTCAACTTGAGTAGCCTTCTCCAAAAACCAGAACTAAGTGCGGTAGCTTTGACAGACCAAAAACATTTGGACTTAATGAGATATCTATGAACCCAAGCAACCCTAAGAGAGTCTTTCATGTTACATAACCTCCAAATGTGTTTAAGACTTGAAATTCTATTAGACAACTCCAAGCAAGGAAAAGGTTTTGGTGCAACTGATTTGTGCTTGAAAAGGTGTTTTTGCTTATGATTCTCAATGGCTGGTGTTGGATAGTGTATGAAAATGCTAGTGTTTGAAAATATAACCCTGTTTGAAAATGCTGGTGTTGGTCCTCGAGCAATTAAAATGCTGCTGTCAATTTATTATAACCCTGTTTGAAAATGCTGTCTTTTTTTTTTTTTTTTTTGGCTTACTAATAAGGTTTTCTCTTCCGCCTTTCATCTATGTAAGTTAGTTATTTCTTTTTCGCTGCGATGATTATGACTCTTGATTTTGCCTAATATGGTAGATTTTGATGCTTGTTGATTTGTGCGGTTATTTATTTGTTCATAATTGTCATTGGCAGGTTTGTTTGTATTAGTAGTGTATGTTTGGTCGCCATTAAAGTGTTTAGTATTTACTGGTAGATTTTGATGCTTATTGATTTGTGCTTGGAAAAGTTATTTATTTGTTCATATTGTCATTGGCGTATTAGTGTATGTTTGGTCGCCATTAAAGTGTTCAGTATTTATTGGAGTATTTAGGGTTGGAACTACACATTATGTAGAAGAGCTAAGCTTGCATCTCTTAAGCTGAGAAATGGTTTATTTATTTATTTATTTATTTATTTATTTATTATTATTATTTTTCTAATTCTATTATATTTTTCTTAATTATACTCTAATTCTTTCCGGGCACTCTTTCCTAAGCCCGGAATCCATGCTTCTTAATTAAAAAAATCGTAGCACTAATTTTGATTTTTACTTTTTTCTCTTTGATTTTTCCCCCGACTTATGGAGGTTACAACTCTGTTTTTTCAGGTGAAATTTTCTTTTAATTTTCTATTTTTCTAGACATATATTATTTCTGCTTATCACATATTGTTATTAATTTGGAATCATGGGCTTATTGAAGTAAAATTCCTTGTCTATTGTATAATTTTGTTTTTGTTTTGTAGGACATAGTTTGAAAGTACAATTGATTTTGTTCATGTACAAGTTATATTATTTCTTTTAATTTTTTAAAACTGGACTAATTTGATTTGGAGTCTCTTTCATCCCCCCACCCCCCATAGAGTCTACAATCTTCTTCTTTTTTTTTTCTTTTTTTTTTTGTGAATTTTTTCTTTTAATTTTTCACACATATATTATTATATTTTTTGTGTTGCATAAAGGTGTTTTAATTTATACAAACGCAACATAAAAGTACATTTCTTTTCTGCTTTAATTATGTTGTTGCTTTTATATGGTTTTGTGTTACTTGAACCAATAATTTTGTTTTTTATTTTAAGGTTTTAGTTTTAACGACACACTTTGATTGTGATGGATTGAATTTTCATAAGCTCCCATCATATTATATTTTGTTAATTTCTATTGTATTATACTTTATGTATATATGCTCCCTCCCTCCCTCCCTCTTAAATATATAGTATTTATTCTATAGGCATAAAAAATTATTTAGCTTAATTAAATAAATGCAAGTAATTTATTCTTGAGCCAAAAATACCATAAAAATATATATTAAAAAAGTTACTATGCAAGTAATTTTTACTATAATCCAAAAGGTAAAGTTTATGTGCTACTGTTGCGATTTCATTATCCCACTAAATAATATTTAGTTTAGGGTGAAGTGCAAAAAAAACCCCTACATTTTAAAAATGCGTAAATAACACTTCTTATGTTCAAATTTCACCTATGTAGTATGAAAAGTAAGCAAACAAGAGTAAACAAGGACTTATAGCCATTAAATAAAGCGAGATAGGCAAAAATACACAATGACCCTCAATATTCTATTTACAAAAAAGAAAAAAACATAAATAGAAGTTGAAATTACTTAAAAGGACTTGCACAAAATTAGAGAGTAAAATCAAATAAAATATTATGTAAAAAATTAATAAATAATATATATATATATATATATATATATATATATATATCATGTAAAAAATATATATCTCCAAATCCAATAAATAAATTTTATTATTATCTTAATTTATCTAAAAATAAGATGAAATATAATGAAAAATATATATTATATAAATTCAAGTGCCAAATCATATTCCTATGAATAATTACTGAATAGTAATATAAATAAATATAAAAATATTATATATTTTTTGTAAGGAATAAACTATTTTATTTTATATAGATGACAAATCTTTAATGTTTGACCAACTATTTCATTATTAAAAAAGTATATAATAAGTATAAACATTTAAGTGCATATATGTCCTATTGACATTTAGTTATATTATTTTTTTGGTAAATTAATATTTAATTATTTGATCACCTGAATATGGAAAAATAAATTATTAATATAAAATGTAAATCACTTTTATGTTTTAGAAAATCTTATTGTATAAATACACACTGACTCAACATCTAAGACATGGATATGTAAAGAGCCTCTCACACTAAGAAATAAGTAAATTTTTTGAAGAAAGATAAATTTAATTAATTAAATATTTATTATTATTAGTATTAAAGAAATACAATTTACATACGTGGGAGAGAGCTGTTAGAAAGAGACCGAGAATGAGAAGAAGAAAATACATACAAACAGAAATTATAGAGAAAGAAAAAATAAATATATAAATAGAGTATTTATAGAGAGAAAAATAATGAATTTAGGATATTATATATAGAAATGAGGGAGAAATGAATGAGAGACAATTTTGGGAGTCCAAAAGAGTAGTATTGGTATTAAAGAGTATTTTTTGGTCACATGACACTCACATGTCACACACTTTTTTTTTTTCTTTTTTTTCCTAGTTGGGACACACACACGCCTCCACTAAGATTTGAACCCCTGACTTCCCTTTGAGAAGTAGAAGTCTTGTACCGCTAGGCCACAGGTCTGTTGGTTCACATGTCACTTTTTGGGGTTAGAAGTTCTTATTTACTCATTTTTGATACTACAAATGTGGAATTTGAATATAAAATGTGTTATTTGCACACTTTTCAAATTACTTGATGTAACAAAAGGGATACATGTTCACAAGTTAGTTTGAATCCACAAACTATAAGAAAATTCATAAATTCATAAATATTATTGATAAAAGGTTGATTGAATACTATGCTCTCGCAGTACACTATATTTATAATAAATAAAACCCCAAAACTTTAAAGAAAACTAATAACAAAAAAAAATAATAATTGGTTTAAGTTAACTAAAAATATAAAGAAACTACATAAAATAAAATTCTCCCTTAAAAATATATAAAATAAAAAACCTAATTAATACCGTCAAACTATCCTACATCATTAATCTACTTTATTTTTAATATTCTTCGAATTTGTTGGCATCATTTTTCGAATTTGTTGTAATATTTATAGTTTATGTGAAAATTTTAATTAATAGTTCTTCTTGAAATCAATTTTTCTGCTAAAAAAAAAAAAAAAAAAAAAAAAAAAAAAAAAAAAAACCCAAAAAAAGAAGTAATCATACCATCGTAATCACACCATAAATGTTAAATTAAGTCAAATTACACTAAGTCACAAACTCATACTCTATTATTCTAGCTATTCAATTAAGCACTCAACATTGACAGATGGGTAAGTTTAAGTTATATCCACCAATATCACTTTTACCATTAAATTATATTGTGGTAAAAAAGCCTATTAAATTTACCTAGACCAAGAAAAAGAAAAAAATGAAAAAAAGAAAGAAAAATAAAAATAAAAGTAATATTAAAGTTTCACGTTCAAAGCCAAAAAAATAGTTAGAACTATTTTTTATATTTTGTTGGAATATTTTTTAAGAAATTAATAAATTTTTTTCATATGTGAACTTAATACTTAATAGGTTTTACTTTATACCTTAGTATTTTATGTTGTTGACCCTTTATGATCTACAATTATGTTTAATGGTTTAAAATATAAATTTTAACATTTATCTAAAACTACTATATATATCATAGGTGAGAATTATTTAAATGATAAATTTTAATAGTTTTAATTATCCAAAAATAGAAATTATTACCCTTTAGACTTTAATCTTTATTCTTAGAATCCTATTGGTAGCTAATAAATGTATAAGAGGACAACACAGTTGGCTTCATAAATATTTGAAATTTCAATTACTCAAATAAGTTGCAAATTAATTATTTGTAAAACATAATTTATTTTAAAATTTATGTTTAAAATAACTTTTAACCACGTGTAGCTCATGTGTCTTTTACTAATGTGTGTATATATATTTTTTGGTTGGGTCTCTATGTGGTTATTGAGAACTTATTGTTTTTTCAGCACACTCATAACTTATTGTTATTCAAAAGTTATAGAAAAATAACTTTTGAATAATATTGAACTTTGCTTATAAAGCAATGTGATGAATTAATTGGCATGTTTGGTATGGGTTTTGTTTTTAGAATTTCTGTTTTTGTCGTATACGGTAGTCGTGGACAGTGAAAAAACGTGTTTGGTAAAAATTATTTTATCTTACACAGTGTCAAAACATTTTGTGACAGTGGCCTAAAATTGAAACACTAATTTGATCTTTTTATATATTTTTCGTATTGTAGCATTTGGTACTGTAACAATTAACAACAACAATAATTTTTTTAAAAAATATCTCTTAAATGGCATTTTTAACAAACTATTATATTTTTCAAACTTATATTACTTTTTTACAAAATACGTTTTCAAGTTTTTATTTTAAAAAATCTTACAACAAATAAATGTTACCACATATTTTTTATTATTATTCAAAACACGTGGATAGGCGAGTGTTATAAACTCTTTTTTGTGGTGGCCATTGAATTAGAAACATATATGTCATCCATGTGTTTGAACGTCATGTTTGCCACGAAAGGAATAAATTCACCCATTTTCTTATTTGCAAAAATATCATTCACTTTGCTCTCGCCCAACGCCTCGTCAACCGGACTGAAGAAACTACCGGATCTAGCGCCGGAAATTTGTTTGGGGCTACTGCTCAT